GGGGGGTGGGCGGGGGAAGGAGCAAAGTGCCGGGACTTGTGTTGGTAATCCTGTTGGGAGTTGGGACGGACAAGTTACCGTATATGCCTAATTGTTTATATGAGAAAAAAGTGGGCTGGATGGATTAATAGACTGGCTGGACTGACATGACACTGGCCCAAGCCTTGCTGGTTTGTAGTGCCAACTTGATGCAGCTCCTGCTGTTAGGTTCGGTTAGACATAGGCACACAATCATTTTGCAAATTGAACACCTTCACTCCAATAAAACTTTGTCTTAGTTTTGAAAAGGAATACAATTTAAGATGGTTGAACATCTAAGAAGTTGTGGTTTAGTTAATAAGAAAGTTTATTTTCATCTTATTGATTAACATTCGATTCATTTGAGAGATTAAAAAAGAGATAATTCGTCATATAATTTTTTAATTTACGTGTGAATGATTTTTTTTTAAAATCAAATAGTTTTAAAGTGCATGCAAGCTGATTCATGGATGCCCTAACTTCTAAACCAATTACAAAAAAAAATTAAGTTGGTTGATCACATAACATAGGACCAAATGTAGCTCTAAATAGAGACAGTAGATAAGAAATAAATGTTGCTATATATGTACTATCGTATTGATACATAAATCGGTCTTTGCAATTGCAAAGATTAGCCAAGGAATACCTCTAGCTCTGGAGTGAAGGTAAGGCCAACTCTGATCTCCCCATAATATTTCTGGTCCTTAACAACAACATTATATGATGTCATTGGAATGAATCCTTCCTCAAACACTGCCTCCAGGGAAATGCTAAACGATGATATATAAGAACCAAATTAGTGTTGGTAAATCGAAAACAAAATATTAAACTCACGTAGCTTCTCCTACAAATTAAATCATCCAAGGCCAGAAGATCGTTGTCCATTATTTTCAATTGGTTAAATCCTTAATTTGGTCCCTGAACTATTATATGAATCCCGGATTTGGTCTGAACTAAAAAAACCTTTGATTTGATCCCTAAACTATTATATTGATCTTCGATTTGGTCCCTATTATTTATCAATTTACCCCAAATTGGCCTTTTCATATAAAAACCAACTAACGTGTCTTATTATTAACATGACACGTGATTGTTAAATTATTATTTTTCTTCGTTAAGTTATTATTCTTCATCATTAAGTAACGAACACGTTGGTTGTTTTTTATATGGAATGACTAATTTGTGACAAATTAATAAATAGTAAATACCAAATTGAGAGTCCGTACAATATTTCAAAGACCAAATCAAGAATTTATTAATTTATAAATCAAATCGAAAGTCTATACAATAATTGAAGACCAAATGAGGGTTTAACCCTTCCAATTTGATTTCAGTAACACCTTCGCTGGTACTGAATACAAAGGTCTCCTTCCACTGTGGATAAGACCCTTGTCTAGCAAAGAATTATGACGTACATATGTGTAATTATTGTTATTTTTTATTTTGAAAAATGACGTTAACTTTTATTTTAATATAAATGACACAATTTTTTATTTGTCTATTTTGTGGTCGTGGTCCAGTCCATGATTAAAAAGATGG